AACGGTATAAAAATTATTGCAACTTACATAGTACATACAGACAATAGAGATGTCCGAAAAAAAGAAATTTTCATATGCTTTACTAATTGATCGACGAAAATCACCAATACTTTTGGTAAGTGGGTGTATTTAAATTGCCACTGCAAAAAAAATATCATAGTCATTGTTTGCAATGTCAATTCAAATATTCTATATGTTCAGTTGATGCCATTTGTTTATTCCTTATTTGATTTTGTAAGTCTTATTTTTAATACTAAGGAACATTCTATGTTAAAGTCTTTCTGTTTTTGTAAATACTGTAGCTCAATATATTTTCGACACTTTCTAAAGCCGTCATATAAATTATTTGGTATTTCGAACTTACTGTAACACAATGTTCTTGAGAACACTTTTATCACGTGAGATACAACTATGACCAGTTTTGACCGACTTAGGAAATTATATAGATTGGCCGACTTATCGAATATTTTTAAATAGTGAAAAAAGGGGCTGAAGACATTTGGCCGAGTTATCAAGAAACCGACTTATCGAGGGACCGACTTATCGAGAGGCCAACTTATCAGGTTGACTGTGTATTAAATTATGCAATGTAAGTTCTGAGCACTTAGTTCCGGTTACCACTTTTTTGCGGACACGAGTTCTCCTTCAACGACGAACCAGTTGCATAAAAGCCAAACATATCATCCAAACTAAAGTTACTCTGACGTTAATACCACGTCAACCAACTTTTAAAAAGGCGCGAGTAAATACTGCTTGACTTCTGTCCGGTGACGTGACTGTATGGCTATGTTCACACCTGATAACGAACGAATTAAATCTTGTGAAGACCCGTGACTGCAAAATTTGGTGGCAGGTGATTTTTTGGCAAGTATAATAATAATATAACCATTACTTTTCCATTTTTCCTGTAATTGATTTCTCTATGCTTATCAAACGCTTGTCTGAAAACTCGAAAAATTTATTGCAACGATTTTCTTGTTCTCGCCAGTTAACGCCTCGAACTCCACACGATTGTTATTCCAGAAAGGCATCGGAAGATAGTACTTCAATAGAAAAAAACAAACAGAGTCCTGAAGTTGATACTACCAAACGTACTACCTTAGTCGAAGAAGCGAGGCAATGTAGGGATGCATTTAAACAAATGAAATCAGCTTTTGAAATGGCATTAAATTCGGACAGGATCGTGCGGTATTATGCAACACATAGCATGGAATTAAAGGCACTGGTTCACAGAGCTCATGAACTGAACCTTTGGGAAAACATCGATAGACATGTTAATGAAGACATTTATTGGGACGTCAGGGAGGGTGAAAAAAAGCATGGAGTAGATATTATAGAGATCGAACGCATAAAAGAACACTTTAATGATTATCAAAACGCACTCAAAGACGCGCTACGTGAGCGCACAGCAAAACTGTTCAAATTTGAAAAAATCTACAATGTTAAGTCAGCGTTGGAATACGTCATGAAACGGGTAAGGCTTTATATTCTGCATCAAGTAACTTTTTCTCTTTATTTACTATACCATTTCTGTGAATAGTTTTGTTCGAAGAATAATATAGATTTCAAATTATGCGGACCTTTCCAAGACAATATATTACAGCTTTTGCTCCAACAAGCAGACTTTAAAGATCATTTGCAAGATGCGTGCCGGTTTAATTTAGTGGCTACAAGAAGCGTGAGAAAAAGTTTTAGTTGGCTTTATTACATTTCATGTCAACGACAGCGTCATTATAGAAAAGATTTTGTAATTTGTGCTAAAGATTGGAAAAAAAGTGAATTGGTTGCCTTGGGACTCATTTTTAAGTATTTTTGCATCCCCTTCATTTATTTGGGCAAGAAAGAAAAAAAAGAGGAATTTCCGTACAGGATGCCATATATGTCCTGGTGGGAAGAATATTATAGTAGTAGTAGCGATGAGGATACGGATGATGAGGATGCTAATACGGATGATAAGGATGAGGATGCTAATACGGATGATAATGATGATGATGATGATGATGACGCGGATGCGGATGATGATGCGGATGATGATACGGATGATGATGCGGATGATGATGCGGATACTAATACGGATGATGCGGATGATGCGGATGATGATGCGGATACTAATACGGATGATAAGGATACTAATACTCATACGGATGATGCGGATGATAAGGATACTAATACCCATACGGATGATACGAATGATGCGAATGATAAGGATGCTAATACTAATACGGATGACGGATGACGCGAATGTGTGACATCTCGTCTGATTGCTATTGGCTATACAATATTAGTATTAGTATTAGCCCCAAAGATCGGAATTGTATACTAGCCTTTTTTGCAGTCTAGTGCTAAATTCTCTACCGCATTTCGATATGATTTGCATAATAATAACAAGTATTCTTGTATTCTTTCATTTTACCATTAATAAAGTTTATACTGTTGAATTGTATAAGTCGAAAATTTGTGTAAAGATATATATAAATTCGGCTTAGTGCGAAATTTAGTAAAACGAAAACGTCTCTTCCCCGACCTTCGTCTTATCGAGTTTGCCTTGCCTTGTATCACTATTAGCATAGCATATTGCATAACAATCATGTACTGTTTTGATCGGGAACTTATCAAGAAGTATTATCAATTCGGTTTGACTTACAAAAACAAATAATATGGGGAAATGGCAAGTCGAGCACTTGTCAATGCAGAAGTTCGAGAGCGACTTCCTAATACCATCACAAAGGAAGCATTCCGCAGAAGATACAGTCAAACCTCGGAAAACCGATGTGGCTGTCCTCACCATTTTCTATCGGTTTTGCGAAGTATCGGTTTTCCGAGGTTTTTGCTTCTTATTGGCCAATTCATAAATTCAGTGTATAATAATTTATTCCACAAGTGTTTTAACAAATAAACCGGACGGACAAAAGGAGATCATCCACAACAAGAATTTATCTTGCGATTGCCTTTTTACAGAAATGACTTTACAAATACTGTTATTTATAACAGAGACAAACAATACGAAGCCTAAACTCCATCCAAAACTATGTTTCCATCATGAAGTCACAATGTAGCCGTTTTTCAAATGTCTCACTGGCTTTCTGACCAAGCATTGAGAGTGTGTTCTAGATGCTTGGTGTAAATGTAACAAAAAATAAGAAATGCTACGAAGTAATAAACCTGTAAATCTGTGATTGACGTAATGTATCTATTGATAATGCGAAATCTTGGACCTCAGTATACATAGAATTGATAACGTCTTCGGGTCAAAAAGGTGTTCTTTTGGAGGATTACTGATAAACTGCAAGATTATCCACACTTTCTAGCACCAACTTTAAAGAAATATTGGGCTGTGGTTGTTGACTTACATTTGAAAATTTTAGATGTACGCATTAGTATATAAATTGCAAGAATCAGGTCACGTATGTACTACATTATAATATCGGGGATTTATGATAAATTGCACGGGAATTGTATCAGTTTTCCGCGGTTTGACTGTATCTTGGAAAAAGTAGATTAGAACATTTTCCCTATCAGCCATTGCAAGACTATCTTCGAATACGTCATCACAAATATTTAAGAGCAACATCTCAATTGTAAGTACAGGACTGCGCCTGGGAGCTAAAACTCACGCTCGCACTAGATATGAGCACTTTAGTCCGATGTATATCAATTGTGAGCAGAGACTATCGAAGTCAGAGAGTAGATAAGTCGACTTTTTTCTTGTCAGAAGTTATAAATTGTAACGCGTAACGTGATTTTTACTAAGCATAACATTAGAGCTTGAAACATCGAAAACAGGTTATTGAGAAAATAAGCAAGTGTTAACCATGTTTCGCAGTCCTCATTGCCAACTTTCCAATAATTAAAGATAACTATTCAGGATAATAAAATTCAGTAACAGTTCCATCGGACTCAGAACCCCACACCAGCGGGATAATGTCGTCACATTCATTCAAATTCTTCCCAAGTGGTCGTAACAGAGCAGACATATAATCCCAATAAAATACTCGACCATAACAGTCAAGAAAAAGCAATCCATTTTCATGTTCCCCGATGATGATTATGTGATCGAAACCAAACTTTTTAATACACTCTAAATAATCAGTAACATCCGATTCTTTTTTTATGAGTGTATACCAAATAGATTCTGCAATACGGCGGGCGTCGGATTCATTCTTAATCTTTTCCACTACCATGAGAGAATTCTTGCAATGCCCATGTGGTTCATCTTGTCCGCTACCTGCTGGCACTTGGCGCACGGGAACACGGTCATCATTTTGCGTAAAGATATGGTCCGGCTGTATAAAACAACACGGTGTCGTCGGCTCCTCCGTCGTCCAGTTAGTGCATGCCAAGGTACCGACTCGGAACAGTTGCCCCAAAGATGTCGACAACCCCGAAATTGCTTCTTTGTTAGGACAACATTGGAGCGACATCGGTATCATTTGCATTCTCGACTCTATTGCCTTGTTGTTGTTGCTGGATGATATCAGGCCCGTTTGACTGCGGACGGACGCGTCCCAGCATGTGATTATGGAGAGCGGGCGAAAATGAGGCCGAGTGACCAGCTTGCTCGTGTCCGGGATAACTATCCCCTGAGTTCTCTATACAAAATAGACTTTATCAATACGCAATACGTTGGAGGATTTTTCCGCGCGTAAAAACACACCTGAAAGGTTCTACAAACTCGGTGATTATTTTTCTTTGCCATGGTTTTTTGTGAGGTCCAACCAAGTGTATGGGCCTGAAAGAGAGTATAAAGTGGTAAGTAAAATGTTCGAAACAAGTTAACGTTAGCACTCTTTATTTGGTGCACGACGACCTACTTTTTGGTTGTGACGGGTAACGTTAAGTAAAAAAAAAAGCTTGATATGTGGTATAGTCTACAAAATACACAGTGGTTCTCTTTATAGTGGAAACACGTTTCTACACTATAACGAGGTATACACAAAAAAGAAATCTCACAATATAGTGTATTTTAATAATATATCATGTGACATACACTACAGCGAATTAGTTTATTTCGTATTAACACGCAAGGAAAAGCAGTAAAAGTTTTTAAGCTGAAAAAAAAAAAAAAGGTAAATGACCGCAATATTTACTGAAAGTATTGGATAATGCTAGACTGACAGCTTGCTCACTAATTTCAAAGTCTTCCGCTAGTTATCGGCCTTTTACTGAGGGGAACTTTTTTTTTTGTATTATTATCTTTTATTATTATCACACATTGTCTAAAATAATAGAAACTCTCGCATTATCGTAGTTCTTTATAACAAGTAATAAGGTCCTTGCTTTATTATTTTTTTTATTAATTACATACTTTGCCCAGTCAAGGCAACACGCTTTTTGAATGTTTCTTGGCCACTTCTATCCCTAGACTGTGAGAGATCCATATCAACTGTCTGTTCCTCCATAACAAAGAAGAAAAACTTTCTTCATTACCCCTCCACTATATCAACGAAAACTACACACTATAGCGATTTCCAACATTTCTCCACAATAACAAATCCACGCCACTGTGTATCTACAGTGATAAAATTTTTTCGTAGATTATTATTATCACAAATTTGCAAAAGGGTCAACCCGTTTTCAGGTCTCAGAACGGGTCAAATCCTTAGAACGGGTCGTAACATTAATATTTATATGTAACACTTTTGTATGGACAAATCGTCATAAATTTGACAGTTTCAAACCACTATTGTGTAAATCACTACTCCCAAAAGGAGACATGTAGCTAGCAAGATTCCTAAGACTATAGATCTGAAATACTTGCAAAGCTACAAGCCAACCAGCAATCGAAAAGTCTGCAAGTGGCTAGCAGACTCGCTAAACTCAAAGGATGGCCCACACAGGAGAACCTGAACTATTTTGCGGCATGCCCAATACTGGATGGTTAGGCTCCCGAAGGAGCTTTATGACTATGTCTGTACCAGCCTTCGTATGGAGGAGCCCGCATTCCAGAAACACCTGACAGTGCCAGCATCCTCGAAGATCATCATATCACCGCCATCGCTCACTATGGAAAACCTCCCTTCCTCATTACCTCGGGTTATCCAAGTGGAGTATAACACCCCCAAACTCATATACAGTCGAAGCTCGTTATAACAGATACACATTACAATTACAATGGAATCGCATTACAAGAGAATTTTTTTTGGAACACAATTTTCTTATATTAAAAATTGCTTGTTATAATAGATTCTCATAGTAAAAATCGCGTTATTAGCTATAATGGTTGGTTAAATTGGTTATAAAACTGATATTAATATTAATATTTAACGTTAAAACACTTGGCTTATACGAAATGCCTAGCAATAAGATTATTAAAAGAATATCTTTAATAAATGCACAGAAACGTCAACTATGTCTTGACAAGGAGAAAAAACCTACACTACCGACTGGCGAACTTGCGTCGAAGTACGGAATCAAGGAAAAAACCGTCTCTGCAGTCTTAATGGCAAAAGAAAAGTGACTTGCAACGAATTCTAATGAATATACTGCTCAGTTGAAGCGTAATCGCCCCTCAAAATACGAGAATGTTGAACGTGCCTTGTGGAGTTGGGTCAAAGGTGCGTTATTATTATCCTCTAGTCTTGATATCACTGGTGCTGTGATCTATACGACACATATCATGTAGCGATTGATATAATTGTCATTTTTGTTACAAGTCATTAGTAGTATTAGTATAAAATAAATTTCGTGCTATAATGGAATTGCACGTGCAATCATTAAGAAGTCCATTATAACAAACCATGTGGACTCGTCCTATAATGGTACTCATGGAATTTTGCGTTCTTTATTTGTTTACACCTACGATTGAACGCTAAAGGTGTTAATGGTGCTCATGGGCTATGCCCAACTTTCTATTATAACGAGCTTCGACTGTGGGAATAGCCATGACGTGCATGTATGGAGGTGTATGGTGCTTACATGGAGGGTTCACTGTGTATAAAGAGTTTAGCAGTGGGTGGGGGGATATGCCTAGACAGAGGCCTAGATAGAGATTGAGATATAGTTCATGATGACGAGATCTATATCTAGGCAAGAGATATATAACTATATATATAAATGATCCGCAAGAAATTAACAAATCCAAGTTAGTCTAAATAACAAAAATGGAAATAATTAGGTTAGATGCGGGGTCACGAGGCACGGCAAATCTGAAAAAGAGGTTAAATAATAAAATAGTATCTCCATCATTAAAGCAATAATTATCCATACAGCAGTTTCCTACGCGTATTATGTCATCAACGACTGCAAAAGTTCCAACACTTTTGAATACGACTTTCTTAACCTCAGGACTTAGTCGCGGACTCTTTGAATTCGTTACGAAAGTCGCTGATGCTAGAAGTAAACAGGTTTGATATATAGAGAATGTTTTATCCGCGAGTCATTGTTTGAATACCTACGCGAGAACGACAATGAATGCTTATATCAAACTTTGCTTCTTTTTAGGAAGAGGACCACTATGTGGCAGAGGAACTCTTCTCCCTCACAAAGAAACTATCAAAGCCTGAAATTTCTTCAGTGGGTGTACAAACCATTATCTGTTGTGGAGACTCGGATTGAAAGAAAAGATTAGACTTGGCTAATTGAATTTCCTTTGCCTACTCTATTATTATCACCACATATTGTCAATATCTGGATCAGAAAAAGATGAAAGACTATATAATTCGCTTAATTTATTGTGATATGTTAGGCCATAGTGTCGAATTTGGCTATATTCACGCTGTCAAGCTGGCCCAAAGTGGAAAGAACATATGGGAGAAGCGGGCTGGTAGATTTGTGCATATCAAGTCAAATCGCAAGTCTGTAACAATTGTTAGAGTAATACTGATCCAGAATTGCATTTAAAACAGGATACCTCGCGTGCTCTTTATTTCTTTATGAAACTCATGAGCTGAGCATAATGCTCATCAACACGGTTCAAAAGGTAAAAGTAGATCTTTTTGTACAGATTTTTTGATCAACGCGATCTATTCTGATGTAATGTATAACCTTCTTGTAGGATTTAAATAGTAATAATGAGCTAGAAGTTAACGCGGCGATATCAGCTCTTTGTAGCTTGCTGTATCCGGAGATGATACCAGCAGTCATTCAACTCATCGAAGGGGCATTGAAACATTCAAAGTGAGTGTCAGTTGTTTTGAGAATAGCAAGAATATAGTGTACAATAGTTGCAAAGCCTTTTCGATTCTATCTTAAAACTTTGACTTGCAACAAATAGCGACTCTGTCAGAAGAAAAGCAGTTATGGTCTGTCATCGATTATATCGTATTGCACCAGATACCATATCCCATCTTGAAGACACCTTTCGAGAGATACTAGCCGATAAAGATTATGGTGCCCTCAGTGCTATTCTTTGCTTATTCTCGGATCTAGTTCAGGTGTGATGGAAGAGGTAGCAAAAAAGCTAACGTGAACTAAGCAGCTGTTATGTGGTTTCGTTGGTTAATCTAATCTGATACATCAAAATTGGCTTGTAGGATAAGCCAGAGAAATATAAAGACCTCGTTCCAACTTTAATAACCAAGTTAGAACAAGTTATTGATCGATGGTTGCCTAGAACTTACGATTACCACGGTGCATCCGCTCCTTGGATTCAGATTAAGCTCGTGAGGATTTTGGGACTATTGGCCAAGGACGATGAAGAGTAAGGCTAGCATCTTGTTTTGTTATTTCTGGTATACTTGTTGTGTCTAACCATTAATTGTTTGATGCCATAAGAATAAGTCAGGAGATAGAGCCAATGATTATCCGCGTACTTAGAAAAGCGGAGGATGGTATAGATGCAGCATATGGTAACTTCAAATTCCTGTTTTCAACAAATATCAAGTCTACTGCAATTCCACTAACTATATACTACAATTCCGCCCAGCCATAATCTTTGAATGCATCCGTTCTCTCTCTCTTCTACATCCACGCGTACTTTCCTCTCTCGTAAACAAGTCTGGAGCACAGAATCCTCTCAGCATTATAGCACGCTTCCTCAAATCACATAATCACAATTTAAAATATCTAGGATTGATTGCTCTTCAACAGGTTGACCCTGTCTGGTGGACAGAGGGCGGATGGTGGGGTGAAGAGCAGATGAATGTGATTGTAGAATGTCTTGAGGACAAAGATGAGACTTTGAAAAAGAAGGTAGGGAACATTTGGCTTGATACATATATATTGAGTAAAAAGTTTATGATGGGCTAATGGATATCATTTCTCACTATAGACTTTAGACATTCTTTATAAAATGGTCAATTTACAAAATGCAACCGTAATAGTAGATAGAATGATTGAAGCGATAGGTTCTGCGTTGACCCCGGACAATTTTCTGAGAAAGGAACTCGTTATTAGAGTGGTCGATATTTGTGGAAAATATCCTTTAAACTCTTTTGTCTAACTATTTAGTTTTATAAATCGAGAGCTTAATCCTTGACCGTGTTTTGACGGAAATCATACATTCCCTCTGGCTCCAGACTGGCTTGTGGCTACGTTAATCAAGCTACATGATGTGGCTGATGATTTGATTTGTTATGATCTTTCTGATAAAATTTTCAGGATTATAATCAACGGTAATCATTTTTTTTATAAATACATTAACGATGAAAATCCACGATACTAATTAAAATTTATTTAAGCGTCTGAGGACATGTCCAGTAATGAGACGTTACAGATGACAGCTATGAAGGAATCAATCAAGATTTTAGAAAGAGATAAACAATATCTTAATAAGAATCTAACCGTCTTCGTAGTGCGGGTATGTGCCTATGTGCTTCATTAGGTTGGTTTTGCATTTCCTCTGTCTATAAGCATTGAATGGGTTTGTATCAATTGTAGGTACTTGGGGCATGCATTGAGTACCATGAGGATTCTAAAAATGTAATAGATAGGCTTTACTCGGTCTTGGAAAATACAAGAGGTATACTACATCTTTTTCACATTGACTGCAACTTAGAATCATATTTACTTTAGTGGTCATTTTGGGAGGTTATTCCTAATCAATTGTATAAATCTTTAAACAATGTAGATGCTGAGGTTCAAGCTTACACAATAAACTCACTGTTAAAATGTGTGGCAAAGACAAAAGAGTGTCCAGAGAGAGTTTTAGATGCGGTCAGAAAATGCTATAGATCAACCTCTGTATACGTTAGACAGGTAATCACCATGCAGTATCTTTTTTTTTATCCACAAAATGTAAAACTGATCCCTGCTATATTTGCATTAGCAAAGTAAAGAATTTCTGGAACTATACAATAGCGCTATATTATTCAATAAGGTGGTCTTGGGAAAGAGCAATATTAAGAATGACCAACTGTTCATAGTAAGTACCATTCATTACTTCGTCGTTTGAAAAGGCGGCTACCAACTTTTTTAATACATTATACTTTTATGAAGTTTGATGAAAAACTGTCCTTTCTGGATAGTTACGTCCAGGACGCGTTAAACAAGGGTGCTAAACCCTACTCTCCCGTCCCTGTTACGCGGACGCATATATCTGAAGGTGGGATGTCGGGGAATTGCAACTGATAAACATCTGTTAAATTCATTACTGACTCGTTATTTCATTTCCATCTATTTGGTGAAGCAGACAAGAAACAGTTGGAAATCCGTTACGAGGCATATGAGAAGCCGTCAATCCCAGTATACCGTAGACCTAACCTCTCTGTCAGAACCGATTCCGCCACCAATGTACCCATTTCTAATTGGACTCCGAACATCACGCCAGGTCAATTGGCACGGATGAGTTTCTCTCAAGAATCCATATTAGGTCGAGAGCATGACGAATTTGATGGAAAGTGAGTGTTGACATTGACATAAAGTCTGAACGAATGTGTCATGTTTTTGTTTTAACAAATTTTCTCTTTCAGTCAGCATCGTCAGTCAATAGCATCATCCACGTCGTCACCGATATCAAAGACGTTTGCAACTGTAGTTGAACAGAAGTGGAGCAGAGCTGGATATAGACCAGTAATTGCAAAATTAGGGTATCTATCAGATAATCCGAATTCGAAAATTATGAGACAAATTATACAATTCTCTTAAAATTCATGTTTAGGCCATCTTCACCACCTTTGTCAACTAGTTCAAACGAAGAGTGAGTATTAGGCAGAGTATTGCGTATGCTATATATTACATAAGATCCTGTTAAAACTTCTGTTATGTCTTTGATTTCTAGGTCTCAGCCAGCATTAGCTACTATACAGGCAACTGTCAAACCCGTAAAGGTAAATCTATTAAGGGATCAGAAAATATAATTATAAATAATTTATTAATTAAAAAAAAAAAAATCTTATAGACAACGATTACAACCAATGATGCTAACGTAGAGAAAACACAGTTGGTGTCAGCTTTGTTCAGTGGTTTGGGGTCAGGATCAAGGACTCGCTTGAGCCAAGAATCGAGTAACTTATCACGTCAAGACCTCATTGACTTTGATACAACTAGCATACGACCGACAAGTATGTATTCCGTACGGATTCACGACGCCGAGTTTTTTTTAAAGACGATGTACTAACATTATTTAAAGATACTATTATGCATCACCTTAGTCCAGTCCAAATGACGACACGAGAATTTGGTTCACTTTGGGTGAATCTATTACACGGATCATGTATAATTACCAATAAATCACATACGCTCGAGTCTTTAAGAAGGCAACTTGAAAATGAAGGACGTTTCGGAATCGTAGAAAGCAAAGGTACGTGTCAATTAAGACAAACAACGGGGTTGTTTCTTGTTGTTCCGGAAATTGACGATGTGTATATGCTTATTATAGGGTCTGAAGTTATTGCTTGTGCTCACGTGATGCATCCATCATTGAAAAAAGACGCTGGCGCTGCAAATCTTGTATTGCTACACTTTAAGATTAGAGACGATGGGCGCGTGCAACTCACCGTTAAATCTAACATTAATGGGATTTCGGAAGCGATTGGAAAAGAACTTGACAAGTAAAACTGTATTCTTGTAGTAAAAGTTAAGTTATTTGTTTAATGTTGTAAATTAGTCGGAACACGCATAAATGAATTTAAAATACATCAGAAATAAAAGTCAATTGTTTAAATATCGAAGTATAAACCTAATAAACTAAATGTAACGCTAGGCTTTTTACCTATATATTTATAATTCTTTTTTAGCAGTGGTAAGTGTAAATTCCTTACAAGGAGACTATTTTTATAGCCTAAGCAGTTTGTCCATATTTGAATAGTGGATGACTTTTTGTCATCGTATCTGCAGACTTGAATCAAAAGTGTATTTACCAAAAAGTTGAGGTTTGTGTTGTTGCGGTCGGTGTATTCTTTGGGTGGGAGAGCCAATGATCTGTCGCGTAGGTGTGTTCACCGACAGGGGGATGTTACCAAATTTAACTCAGATCGCTACCCTTACTAATAGCGATTGTCTTTACGACTGAATTAAACTTATAAGTGACTATAATTAATTATGCGCGCTTAACTAACTCCCTAAACGAAATATAAACTATACTCGTTTCTAAGTGAGGGGTACCTATAACAATATCGTTACAACTACAATATTGCCACAGAATCGAAGGGGAATATTTATATTTAATTTAAAACAGGGCGGACTTTGATTTAGTGTTTTGACTAGTCGGGTATCTTGTCACTTCTAATATAACTATAACTAATTAAACGAATAAACGGGAGAATCTAAATCGAACATTAATACGACTCGCGTGCACTCTTTATAAGGTGTATCTTGCTCAACGGGTATATCGCTAACCGAAGTATCTGCGAATGGTCTGTAAGCAAGCTATCTCAGACTC